GTTGAAATTACAATTCGGTCCCAATGCTTAAAATCCCTCGATCCTTCATGGGTTAAATATAAAATACAAATGCAATGAACGAGGTTGTTAAATGTGATATATGCTTTTTTGTGCTTCTTTTTTAAATATTTTTGGTTTTGTTGTGATTAAGATTGTGACACGTTGTTGACTGCTGTACCCCTATTTTGACATTTTTACCTTTTATGTTGATTGTTTTATTCACGCATCGTTGTCAAAATAATGGAATCTGATGCGACTGTCATACAAGTGAGAAGTTTAGCACTATAAAATCAGGTTCAATCCACTAGTTTCTACATAAGAAAATGCCTGTAAAAAGTCAGGAAGTTAAGGCACCTTAAGATTCTGTCCATTCGTTTGATGTGTTTGTGCTTTTGATTTTGCCATTTGATTAAGGGACTTTCCGTTTTGAATTTTCCTCGGTGTTCAGTATTTTTGTGATTTAACTTTTTTCTAGACTATGTATCTAGATTTAAAGAAAAATTGTATACTGCTTGTCAAATTGCTCAGAAGAACTTAAAAACTGTACAGAATAACATATGATCAATAATGTTATAAAACATTAAGACTGTTGTTATGCTTATACTGATGATCTAATTGTATGTATTGATAGCTGGGATGAGCATTTAACACATTTATATGATACTTTTGATAGATTGTCACGATCAAATTTGCCTATTAATCTTGGTAAAAGTGACTTTTGTCAGGCCACTGTTGATTATTTAGGGCATAAATAAAGTTGGCCAAGGTCTAGTGAAACTTATTATGGCTAAAGTGAATGCAATTACCAAATTTCATCCTCCTACAAATAAAAAAACAACTGATGAGATATTTAGGCATGATTGGATTTTACAGGATATTCTGTTCAAATTTTGCTACTGTTGTTCAACCAATGACTCATCTTTTACGGAAAGATTCTAAATTTATGTTGATTGATAATTATCAAAACGCTTTTCAAAAAGCAAATCACTTTTAATTAACAGTCCAGTTCTTATCACTCCAGACTTTGAAAAACAATTTAAACTTGCCGTTGATGTAGGAGTTGGAGCCGTTTTATATCAAGAAACAGATGATAATGTTGAGAAACCTATTTCATATTTTTTTCAAGAAATTGGATAAACATCAGAAAAACTATTCAACTATTGAAAAGGAGTGTTTTGCACTATTGTCTGCACTTCAATATTTTGATGTATATTTGATTTCCACTATGCATCTTATTCTTGTTTATACTGATCATAATCCTCTCACCTTTGTACATAAAATGAGAAACAAGAACCAGAGGTAGACGAGGTGAAGTTTATTGTTACAGGAATATGATGTTATTGTAAAACATATTAAAGGTAAAGAAAATGTAATAGCAGATGCTTTATATAGATCTTATAAAAACACTGTATACATACTATATATTTTTCTGTATATATTTTGTTTATGAAAAGTTCTCGCTACAAAAACACTTTTTTTAAGGGAGGAGGTTTTATGATATATTTATCTTGGCCTAATTTATATTGTGTGGCTTTATAAGATGTTTACATATTTGTTTACAAAATAAATCTAGTTAAATTTTATTATTGATTTGTGTCTTTTGTTGGATACAATGTAAAGGTGATTTCTGGCCGTAAGTTAAAAGTTCTTTGAGAGTTAAACGCTCAGAAACATGTTAAATCCCGCTAAATTCTGTATTTTCCTTTTAATTTAATTGTCGTCGTTGGTTCCTGTTTGTTGTTTTTGGATTCGTTATTCATATTGTTGTAACTGACACTGCTGTAAAAAAAAACTGTCCATACCAGTAACAGTCATTTTATGACTGATAATATTTGTCAAATTGTAACAGTTGTTAAATTTCACTGTGGCAGTTATTTTGTAACTGTTCAAACTTTAAAAGTGTTTGTCTCTAACATAAATCGACTGCAACAACGCTGAAAACAGTTGGCACAGTCTTAATGGGACTGATACAATTATTTTAAAGTTGTAACAGTTGATTTATAACTGTCCCAACTCGAAACACGTTGCACCAGTCACAAATAAACTGTTTCAACGCCAAAAGATTGTCACAGTTATAATAAGACTGCTGCAACCATTTGAAAGTTGTAACAGTTATTCTATAACTGTCCCAACGCGAAAAACCTTGAAACAGTCACAAATAAACTGTCTAAACGCCAAAATGGTTGTTACAGTTACAATGTGTTTGCTACAACCGTTATACAGTCCTAGTTAATCTTTAGGGTCGGAACTTCCAAACATTGATACAGTCATTAAGACTGTTAAAAGTCACGGATACAAAATGACAGTCCGGAATAGGTTGGATCATTCGTGAAACAATAGCATCGTGTGCAATATGAGAAGTGTGTTACAAAAAAGACTGTCACACCCATTTAATACGATGATTTGAATTTAAACTGCTTGTAAAAAAAAATAGTAGATTGAAATATTTGCCACTGAACATGTTGCTATTCGCCGCTTATTTGGTTAATGCGTTAAATTTATTTACTTAGTTATAATTCCTTTGTCTTTCATCTCTTTTAAAACAAAATCTGAACCAGCTCTAGATACCTGCAATTTCACACGGAACTCTGTTTCATACGCATTTAATATTACATGTGAAAAAAATCTCACCTATCAGATAATTCGGAAAAGGTTTCCCAATATATTTTTACCCAACTGTATCTTTAGGTTACACTTTGTAAATACAGCTGTTTCACAAGCCACGCCTCTTTTGGGGAGATATATAATATTCATAGACATGTAAATTTGGTAACGTACTGGTTCCCAGATATGATCACTGTGTTTTATCTCATAGAGACATAACTTGGGAGTGTTACCAGTATAGAAAAACATGGTAGCGCCTAAAATGTGATTCTCAGGAGGTCCAAAAGTGGAGGTAGGGGTAGTATAGAATTTTAGTATAAGTTTAAACTCTTAGAAGTTCAGGGCATATAAATGTTGAAAAGATGCCGCACAGCCCTATTTTGACCTTTGAATAAAATAGTAGTGGATATCAACTTTCTGTTCTGGGATATAATTTTTCAAGAAACTTCATAGTAAAAATGGCGCAGTTTTAGATGCAAATGGAGTTCCTATGGGAAATTGCCTTGTCTATATTTACAGAATGGCAACCTATAACTGTAACAGTAAATACTTTCAAAATTATCAAAATGACAACTTTTTTATAAAGTCAAAGGTGTGAAATCAGTCATGCATGCAAGGTGATCGCCAATACCCGTAGTTTAAAGAATCACATTACTTCATGATAACGTTCGATTTATTTTATTTTATTTCATTTTTTAAAAGTGTAGTTAAGTTCAATATTAATTCGACTGTATACTGTTTATGTTACCGAGTGGTCTATTTGAAGTGGAATTGTCTTAATAAATATCACTTAAAATTGCATTATTGAGGCAAACATATTAGACTCGAATTAATTTATATTTTCGCCGATTTTTCTCAACCAATTCATCATACTTATTTTATAACAATGTATTTATTAATGGATGGACATAATGTTTATGACCGACAAAATAAATCTCTTCTGTGATTTAGAAAGAAGTAAATCTTAGAAAAACTTAATTATTTATGAGATCTTCGACAAAAATTTGTACTCACAACGCTCACCAGAAATATTACCATTTTTGATGATAACACCCCTTTACCTTAAACCCTGGATCTACCCTTGACAGTGATGTTATTTTCATATTAATAAAATGCTAGTTGTAGTCTTCATTTTGACTGCTCTATTTGTTTGAAGTTGTATTTGTCTCCTATAAAAAGGTGATCTGTAGTACAAAAGTTAATTTAATTTAGGGGTGAAAAGTTGGTTCCGACGTGGAAGAAGATGGAGGAGGGTATTTTTGTGTTAATTTGTGAATGGACAGACAATAAATATTCTGGCCCTGGTCTGAGTGGAAATATATAATCTGGCCGACTTGAAAATAAATATTCAGACCTAATTAAATTTGCCAGTTGAGTTGCTAAATGTAACTTCTATGTCATTTGGTGTCTGGTGGAAAGTTGTCTAATTTGCAAACAAGTACAACATCTTTTTATTTATTATGATCTTGTTAAAACATATACTAGTTAAAATCTTCAAGACTGTCTTTTTGTAAAGACATTTAGTTTTTGTTATAAGCTATATGTTGACCTCTAGATTATGGATTTTGGCTTTTGTTGGGTTGATGTCTAATCATAGCAGTATACTCAATATCACCCGTTTTATTATCATGTTTTTCGGGGACGACCATTTGATTATAATAGGGGCCTGGCAAATTTGATGATGTCAGAATATTTATTTCCAAAAATAAAGGCAGCCAGATTATTTATTTTCACTCAGACCAGAGCCACTATATTTTTTTTCTGCTCAGCCATAAATTGACACAAAACTGACCCTCCTCGTCCCCACCCCTTTTGAGAATCAACTTTTCACCGCCTAAAGTAATGTAACTTTTGTAATATAGATAACCTTTTTTGATATGATACACATAAAACTCTAAACAAATAAAGCAGTCAAAATGAGGTATAAAATATATATTTGATTAATATAAAGAAATAATAGCATTACAATCAAGGATCCAGGGTCCTAGGAAAGAAGGGTGTTATCCAAAATGTTAAAATTTAGGGCGAGTGTAGCTAGCCAAATTTGTTTTTAAAGATTGCAAAAACAAAACTAGAGGCTTTAAAGAGACTGTGTCGCTCACAAGCATCTTAAACAAGGGCTACTTTTGTTTTGTAAATATCATCATAAAAGAGTAATAACTTAGATAAGGAGTATACTGATCATTTGATCATGTTGACTTATTTGTAGATCTGTCCTGCTAATCATGTTTCTTTTTTATAAATACAATTTTTTTTTATCCTTCGTGAGTTCTTGGCAATCCAATTATTTTCATATTCCTCTCATATCAAACTGGGCTTATCACACTTATAATGTATTACCTGGTTATCTGTAGCAGAACATTTTATTGTATTCATGCCCAATGTACGATTTTCAGGTTGCCCTGATCCAACTGTTACCTGGTGGAAAGAAAGTGAAAATGGTAGAAAGAAAATAACCGAAGAAAATAATAGTTATGAACACGGCTTTATCATAGCCCGTGGATGGGACGTCTCGTGTTATACAGATAATATCGAAAATACTGAATATAGCTTAAAAATGCACAGGTTCAACAAAACAGATCTAGGAACCTATGTCGCAAAAGCGGAGAGTATTCTTGGTATAGTTGAGTTAAAATTCATAATCAGACGTAAGGATGGTTAGAACGTATATTGGGTTTAGCATGTGAAAGTTACTCACAATTTAGAAATGCGGACTAATTCAAAATTCACCAGACTCAGATGATGAGAATATGTCAAGATTGGGTCTAACACAATAAATATACCATAAACTTCAACAATGATAATTGTCTTGATCACAAAATGTATTCACTATCGACAGAGGAAAACACAACTCACAATTCTTAAGTGTCAATTATTATAAACGACCTTTCGACGTTCTTTCCATCAGTGATAATTAAGATTATCTGTATATAGATACATTGTGAAAACAGCAAAACAAGGAATTTTATTTTACTGTCTTGCATTTGCTAATCTTTATAAAAATAAGGAGATGTGGTATGATTGCCGACGAGACAGCTATCCACCAAAGTTCAAATAAAATGAATGTAAGAAATTATAAGCAACCGCACGGCCTTCAACAATGAAAAATACCATACCATATAGTTTAGCCTAAGAGCTAGGATCTGAATGAAGCAACATACGTTTTTTTTTTAAAGTTTAGTTATTCTATTACTCTACTACAAAGACATATTGTTTTTTTTTTAAATAATGGACCAGAAACCCATTTAATATGATTCACTTCTTAAATAAATATAAATGTCTTTATCATGTAAAATGTGATATTGTTTCCTGATGAAAATTAGGATTTTAAAATATATGTACTACTTAATTTTGCGTGAATGTGAAACGTATAAGTATACAGTTTTTTTGTGGTAAATGTAGAAATATCTTTGATGCAGTCTTTAAAGATGATTTTATAGAGATCGAAATAAAAACAAATTACATTTCATTAATTTAAAAAAATTAAATTGGAAGAGATCTAGGTTCCTCCTACTGTAGTATTTACACTCGTGATGAGATACACCATGTCGCGATTTTGACACTCATCAACGACTCTTTTCATTATGATGTTATAGCTTATGCTTAAAAAATGACTGTGAATATCTTTAAGATTTATTGAACATATACAGTGGTAGGTTTAATATCATTATCATGATATCTTTAATAATGAACAATACAATAACATAAAAAAAAAAACAAAAGCAAAAATATTTATCAGAACCAATTTTCACCAAAATCACGTTGATTATGATAGTAAACAGTTTGTTTTTCAAATAATTGCCACACATACAAACACACACATATAAACGAGTTCAACATAATGTTAGCAAGAGTACTAGATGGAACATACAAATCAATACACTTAATTGTGTAAAGCAACAGATAAACTCATCTGAGTGTGATCAGAATAAGTGAAACGAATAATGTGTAAATTAAGTTTACTTTAATGTGATTCAAAATGATGAAATTTCCGATGGCTATTCATTATGAAAATGATTACTATCAAAGTTCAGCATGGAATAATTGTCCTCCGAAGCAACGAAGATGGTCAATTCCAAATTAAAATATATATACAAAAACTCACCTTTTCACCTGATAATAATTCTTTTCCAAAGTAAATTTCTATTTTTACATGTATTTACACAAGGATTATTATGGTAGAGTAATTGGTTGAATAGACCGCCAATCGGTATTTCATTATCATATTGAAATCAATAGACCCTAAAGGATATGAAACGGTATACTATTTTCACCCATTATTCTTTTTTTTTTACAGTTGAGACTGATTAATATGAAACTTCGGAAAATCGAAGACCTGATGACGCCAGCGAAACATACCTTAAGTAACCACACTACACCAACATATATTAATCCTTACTATGATTTACAATCTAATAAAACTGGTAGCTACATGTAACAGTATTGTTGCCTATTAAAAAACTTACCAACTATGACAGATTGTTGTATAACACTTAAGTTAGTCTGATAATGTGTTGATGTTCATTGATATAACTGTCTTCTGAACTTAGACACATGATTCTAAGTACTGTTTTTTGGAGCAAATTTATATAAAAAAAAATGTTTGCATTGATGACAGAAAAAGATTGGCATATCTTAATTTTTGTAAAGTTCAAATTTTTCCTACCTTTTACACTGCAATATAAAATGAGAAGATGAAATATAATTAGCAATGTGACAACACCAGAGAATTCGTGTATTTTCGTGGCATACAATTTTGTGAAAGGAAGAATTTTTGTATATTTGTTGATTCATGATTTTATGGGATTACCAAAGTCTTCATACAAGTCTACAGAAAACCAAAACTTCGTTTGTTTAATGTATTAATAACCTTTATAAAAAAAATCCATGAAAATTGTTACACCAAAAACAATTAGTCCGCAGTATCCACCAAAGACTGAACAATATGGATGTAAGCAACTATTGCTAATTATACGTCCTTCACAATGAACACTGAATCTTAATTAAACAAGACTCAAAAAATTGACAGAATTGAAACAGGAAAACAAACAGCTTGATTTTAGCAACAAAAAGCAAATACAGACATTTTGTTGAAGGCCCTACGGTGAGCTATACATGTAGTTGTTAACTTTCACCTCATTTGTTCATTGGTGGAGAGTTGTCTCTTTGGCAATCAAGTCTTCTTATTTAAATACATTATGAATGTGACAGTAGTGAAATATTTCAACCGATACAACACTTTCAATTACAATTACTACATTAAGGCAACCTTATTTGACCGATGTTCGAAATTCTTAAATCGATTTAGAAGAGACAAATAAAAGAATATCAAATATTACCTATGGATTTGCATGAACTGAAACAGACACGGGACCGGATGCATCGACACGGTAAGCTACTGCTGATATACCTGCATTACCCTCTATGCGATTGCATAGTCGGTTTAAGTGTCAACATTGGGAATAGGATAAATCGATATGATCCCAGATTGGACTTATATACTTGTATCTCAAGATCGAAGACCGTTAAATCATGTCGCCAGTGAGTTTAAACACCAACTCATCGTGTCTGTCAACCGATAGGTGATGAGAACCGTAACACTTATGTTCCAATTGTCGTAACCACAATCCCGTCCTCTTTTCCCCTAATGTGACCCACCGAATTATAAGTATCACCGGTTTTACTTACATGAGCAACACGAACGTCACATGTGGATCTGCTTACCCTTCCGGAGCATCTGAAGCCCCCTCCCTCCCCCGATATTAGGTGTGGTTCGTGTTGCTCAGTCTTTTGTTTCATTTGTTGTGTTTTGTGTACTATTATTTGTTTTTTTGCCATTTTTTCCATGGGGTTGTCAGTTTACATTAGACTTATGAGTTTGAATGTCCCTTTGGTATCATTCGCCTCTCTTGTGCAGTACTAGTGTCGATTTTAATTGTTCTTCCTCATAACTCTGTAGAAGTAGTTTTTGTGTAAGGAGCACACCCTGTTAATGAAGTCCGAATAGTGTGAACATGAACGGATGTAACCGATGAAATTAAATATGTAAACGCCATACTAAGAAGCAGAGAGAGGGTAAGTGATATCTGAAAAGTTGACAAATGGAAAGTTAAAATTATCAAGTTTTCTATACATTTTATTTGCAGTCGTCCATCTAACCTTGTATAATCATTCATGGTAAATATTTATCTACATTTCAACAATAGGTAAGACATATGTGTGACAGTACTACAAACCACACCAACTATAAACAACATAATTCTAGTATTTCAATAAAACTACGTTGGAGCAAATTTAGGCTTTTGTGAATTATATTCAGGCTTTAATAAATCATATTCCATAATAATAATATAAAAATATGTATATGAACAAAGGTATAAGTATTGTTCACTGGTCTACATTTGCTCATTCTTATTTGTATTGCAAAACTTGAAATTTCATCAGAAGTGTACAAAAATTTCGTAAAAATCAGAAATAAGGTGCTATATTTCGTTTTACTTAAAATAAAGTATCTCATCAAGTTAAACATTTGATAGGTAAAAATATTCGAAAATTAGAGCTTTGGATCTGCAAAGGTAAACGTTTTTCTAACACAAAGCTGTGGTTGATTTTTGCCGATTTTTACAACTTGTTATATTCCCTGGTATCCAAAAGCAATTATAAAGATAAGAAAAACTTATAAAAAGAGTGTGATATTGCACATGTTGCAGTCAAGACAAATACAGATTCAAACAGTCGGCAGAATAGTATAGAGTAAAAGAGAGGATACAGATACCAAAGGGACATTCAAACTCATAAGTCAAAATAAACTGACAACGCCACGGCTAAAAAAGAAACACACAAACACACAAACAGTAGTACACAAAACACAACATTGAAAACTGAAGACTAAGCAACACAAATCCCACTAACAAATGGGGGTGTTCTCAGGTGCTTCGAAAGTGTAACATTTTTCCTACATTTGTATAAACCGTGTATTTTTTGCTGCATTTTCTGCACATATTTGTGTACCTGGAAAATATCTAAAATCTCGTCATATAAAAAGCGGGTCTATTTCAGTTTGTCCATACTAATTCTTTTTTATCACTAGTCATGAACCGGTATTGGAAATTTGCACATTCAACTTTTTGTTGTTCAAGTATATAAAAGCAGTCTTTTACCATTGCAATTGATATTGACAGTTTTCTCTTGTAACCTTAATATTGACAGTTTCAAATAACTTTGTAAATTTTGAGCGTACAGTAATAAATAATATTTTTTTGTTAATAATGCCTGTAATCAAAATTTACAAAATTTCTCCTTTTATTTTAACATCAAATACATATATTTTAAATCGGCTGTCGTTGTACCCCATGATGGATTGACATGTGAGCTATAATATATTTTGCCTTTGACATACTTTGGTTGAAATAAATAGTTGTATTATGAGATGGGTTGTTTTACATGAAATGTTATCAGTAGAAATGTAAACTTACAAAAGTAAATGAAGGCTGATTATAGAGAATAGTGTTTGTCTCCAGATTTTAAACCATTTCAAAGGTCAAACCGAATACGTAGTTGAAAACCATTGAAAACCCATCCATGCGTCTTACTGCGACATTTGTTTTTTTTTTGACAAAAAAGTGTGCATTTAAAAGAAGCAGGAAAAATCAATGGAATTTGGTAATAAGTTGAAATCATTGCCAACCTACAATTGTACAGTAACTGTTTCCTTTATAGAAAATCTTGTATAAGTATAGGTAATTGAAGAATGAAACCTTTAAGGTATAAACAAATCAGTGAAAAAAGGGATATATCATGATGTCAATAAACAACAAAACAAACAAACAAATAAACAGCCAAAAAAAAAACTAACACGAACAAACAAACAAGCTTAAATTTTATTTGCCTAATGGCCCGAGAACACAGTTATTTCGTAGTGCATTTCTTTTAGACAATAAAGGTAAATTTTAAAAATAGCACCTGCTTTATCTCAAAAAGATTTTTACAGTGTAGTGTACTACTATTGGGACAAATAATATCAAAATTATAGAAAAGTCTACCAGCTCTAACTCAAATTATTGATAATTCTATGATAAGGGGGTCTAAAATTCAGCTTGACAGCTTCAGACATATTAGTTTTTGACCTTCTTTAACTGGACCAAATCACTTCTTAACATAAAAATTCAGCATCCAATTTTTTTTAACATGTAATTTCATCCCCTTACTTAATATTTCATGCATAACACATAAAGAAATAAATTTGGAAAGTGTATGAAAAAAATTGCAAGTTATACACTGTCCACACTAAGGACTATATTTGTAGACAACGAAAATCTAAGGACGATAACTGTGTCCTCGGACCTAATAGTATAGAAAGACTTGACCGATTCTAATAAAAAGTTGCATGACCTAAGCTGAGGGAATGGCCATAGGTTATATATTATAAAAACTATGGCCATTTTAATATTGAAATTTGAATGTTTAGTTTTGACGTTTAAATCAAATAATTTCAACTATCAAGATTTGGGCTTAAAAATTTAAATATTGCAAAAATGTGCTTGTTAACTGCTCTTAAATATAATATATTAAGTATTAAAAGCAACTGAACACTCATTTGATTTATCAGATTTATTACAATTATTCAAAAGTCAAATTTATATGAGCCTGTGTCTGAAAATAGAGATTTTCGAATTAAGTAGAGCCTTACATAAACATGCATTTTTTTCAACCAATTAGAAGTTTTTGAAGTTTTTTTACCATAAATTAATCTTCCATATATATTAAATGTACTTTAAATGGAAAGAAAAGTTACAAAAAGCATACCAAATGAGTATAACATGGTCTTAGGCTATGAAAGACTGAACATTATTTAGAGTCAATTTAGGCCGCAGCGCATATTTACATATAAAATGCATACAGAAGCTATAAGAAATGAAACTTTGTTACTTTTTGCTCATTTCTATGCTAAGATGTCATGGTACAATAAGTCTAATTGCAAAAGGACTCTTGGATTTAACTTTTTTTGGAGACATTGTGGTCTGATGCACAGTTTTTTTTTTCACTTTTCAATGGAAAACTTGCATGTAGTTCTAGTCTCAACTGGCATATATTTGAACCACATACTATCCTACAGAAGAAAATAAAGGTAGTATATGAAATGGATAAGGTGCACAGATCATTGTCAAGTGCTTTTTTTTTTTACAGATCTAGTGAAATATTTATGATGGCCTACACATTTTATGTACAAAGCTTTTCACATTTCACATACATTAAACAGGCCGTTCGACCAGGGCCTAAATACAACCCATTTTGCGCATTTTTTTCTGTGATAATCTACTTTTCTCTAAATTCAGAGTTCACAAATGGTTAATAGAATTTGAATTAATCAAAGAAACATAAATATCAAAGCATAAAAAATATTCTGATCCTCCATTTTATGAAAAGAAATATATTGTGGTCAAGCAGATGACAAAATAATGTTCTTATTCCTCCA